TACGGCGAGAGATGGTCGCCGAGACAGGTAGTGGGTGGAATAAAGCCAAGGGTTATCAAGTTTAGACCTAGTATGAGGGAATGAAAGCCCTAACAAGGAGTCTGGGTCACATAGATCTTGTTTGGCTCCCTGGCTGGGTACCTGGAGATGATGGCAAGCGATGGTTAGGTAAACTGAGTGATATCTCTGAGTGTCGTAAAGAATGACGTTCATGCATCCTGTTAATTTCTCTGCAATATCATTCCGCTGAGATTTTAATTTTCCTCTTCGATCCTACTTTCAACCTTTCCTGTCTTTCCCCTAATGTTCATTCAAATGGGCAGCCAAAGGCAGCACCCAAAACCGGCGCACGATAGTGCATGGGTAATGGTTGTACAAACTGAAACTGAAAAGCCTATATGACACGGCGGATCTCTTACCTTAACTGCTCAGGCATTCTTCACCATTCACCTGCCTCTCACATTCAATCACAATTATGTTCCAGGTGTGTTTTGATAATATTAACCTAAAATAGGGCCTAATACGACCCAAATTGGTATGCGTTTCTGACCGGAGTAGTTTCTTCACGATTGTTCATACGTGGCGTTTTCATCACGTAATGCAGCGGTACTGCGGAAGTAGGGTACGTTCTCAGTGTATAATACAGAACGCGCAATTATTTTCTAAAACCGATATTTTTCCTCGAAAACTTTTTACTGCGCAAATTTGAACTCTCTCTCACTCAGTGACGAAACGTTTGCAACCTGACTGCCAAACTGGGCAAACGGCCAAATATCAAGTTTTACCATATCTGCCATAAATGCCATTGTACTATCGTGTTCGCTACAGGTTGCACTTCATCTTCGTGCTCTGGAGGCACATGTCGATCAGTTTGGACAAGAACACCGTCGGGGCGACGAATGGCTGGTCACGTCACAGAATGTGGACAGTTACATTTGCGACGTTCATCAGGAAGTCGTTGGCCAAGTGCATATCACTGTACTCACAGCACATCAGTACTGTGTGATCGAAAATCCGATAGGTGCAGATGGAAAGCCTCAATTCGGTCAGAAAAAGCTAGTACGCGGTGAAGGGACATTTTTTGTTCGTCCCGGTGAAAGTATACCCTCCGGTGTGCTCAATGCGCACGTGCTCGAACATGATGAAGGTCTGATACTATGTGCCCGCGAAAAGTTTGTCGATGAGATGTTAGAAGAGGAACATGGTCATGAGGCTATCGGTGTGACAGCACGAAAGGTGGTAAGTCATATTCTTTCCTGTTTCAAATCGTTGGATGTAGGTTTGATGATCTATCTTTAGTCAACGAACTCTCGTATTTGTGTCTGTGTTCGTACCAGCGTTCCTTTCACACACATGCACACACATTGATAGAAAATATTTACCCTATTTGTCCTAACAGCTACCAATCATAACCTCACACTCGTAGGCTTCACGCAGTTCTACATTGTGAAGATGCCCATTCTAAGTTTGGATGCTATATGGTATGTCTCGGTATATACACCTTTACCTATTTATATAGTCACGTTTTTTTGCTTCTCTTTAGGTGTACAATGAATGTACAATCAGCTTTCGGGAAGGGGCTGCAGCCAATGAGAGGCTGACTGTGGGAATACGATAATAAGGGATAGTGGGTGGCTGGATTCGAATTACGGACCTCCAGGTGGCCGTTTTGATGACCTCGCATATATATATATATATATATATATATATATATGCATGACTATAATTTGGAAATACATTTCAGTTTCCATTATCATGTGCGTTTATCAATGGATTTGGGCGAAGAGTATTTATTTTGAACGTGATCTCTCATTGCACTGTTCTTAGTTTTCTTGTATCACTGTTTGAATTTCCATCCTTGAGTGCCGCCATAAACTTCGTAGTAGTTCGAAAGCTACAGCTCAGAATTAAAAGCACTTTACACAAGCATCATGGAAGCTCATTCTTTCCAGTAAGTGACCGGACAATAACTAAGCCCATTGATGAAAATTTTCTAGTCTTAATTAATTGGTAGATTATATGGCTACAAATTATTCACTTATTACTCATTAGCCTGAAAGGACTAAAAATATATCCTAAGAAACGTATAAGATGACTTTCGAGAGTTGACCTCGAGGTGTGCGGCTGGTTGTAGTGTTGTCACCATGCCCAGGCCGGATGAGACATTCAATAGTTTTTGACATATAAATGAAGTAGAGAGGCACAGAAATCCGATGACTCAGTTCCTGACTTGTGTGATGGCGTCAATGTGAATATAAGCCCAATTTCTTGCATAATCAGTAGTAAAGTTTATATATATATATATATATATATATATATATATATGTATATATATATATTTGTCACTCTCTAATTAGCGACATGTGCGTATCGTTTGCAAAAATGCTGTTCAAAACCGCACACAAGTGATTCTAAACTGTTTTGCGGGTTGAATGCTACCAACCGCGAAAAAATGACTAAAATTTGTTCAGAATCATCAGTTTGATTCACTGATGGACTGCGTTGAACTGCATGTTCACAAAAAATACTCCCCGTGTCGCTGATTAGAGATTTGTGACGAAAATATACATCCGTGACTGAATTATATGCATGACTAGATACTGTATTATCGGACAGACATGCTGGACAAGCAGAAAGAACCGCGACCCCGGTGGTGTTCCTCTAGGGAAAGTTTGTCTAGTCGCTCATGTACTACCCAACGTAATAGACGCGTATTTCTTCCGAGCTTTTCCTCCGGTTCAGTTTAGGGTTTTTCCTTATTCATTTCATACTTTCTACGCTCCCCGTTAAATTAACTTATCCAAGGAGGACAACTAAGACCCGAATAATGGTGGGGTCAAATTGAATTAACGGTGAGTCCTGGTGCCCATTTGCCTATCGATTCATTTTTGCGCATTCAAAAGATATATAGGTGATCTAGTGTAGCACTAATTCCTTCTCATCTCATTCGCTGATCAGATAGTATTTGTGAAATAGACTCCTTACCATCTGTGTTTCACCGCATTTCCAAATCCCTGAGAACACTTCAGCACTATTAACTAGTGTTTTTTCGGTTGGTCACTTCAACCTTGTCTTACCTCTGGCAACTTTCAACGCAGATCCGCCATCCAGGAGATCGTTGGATGATACGGGGTCCACTGGAATACTTTCCACCCATTCAAGTCAACGTAGAGGAATTTCGTCGTGCTATTCCATTGGATCGAAATGAGGGGATCTATGTGCGCAATATGCGCACAGGTCGTATACGTGCTGTGATTGGCCACGCTTATATGCTCACACACGAGGAGGAGCTGTGGTCGAAACCAATCCCTCCTGATGTGATCGAATTGCTTGCTCCGGATCGTGATCCGTTACCGGATCGCAATTTGTTTGCTCGAGTCAGTGCGGAGATGGCTCCGAAAATGGCTCCGCGGGGGCCGGATCTAACTCGGGTAATCACGTTCCAAGTTCCACACAATGCCGCAGTTCAAATATACGATTATTTAGAAAAACGTTCCCGGGTGGAATTCGGTCCAACTTTGGTTATGCTTGGTCCAGAGGAGCAGTTTACTAAACTGAGTCTAAGTGGTGGACGACCGAAGCGACCTCATATGATTCAGACGCTGTGTCTAATGCTCGGACCAGACTTTTTCACCGATGTTATTGTGGTGGAGACAGCTGACCATGCTCGGCTATCGCTTCAATTGTCCTACAACTGGCAGTTTGTCGTACCCTCTCCTTGTCCAAAAGAAGAGGCCACTAAGTTATTCTCTCTGCCGGATTTTATTGGTGACGCGTGCAAAGCAATGGCATCACGGATTCGAGGCACGGTTGCAGCAGTGAACTTCGACCAGTTTCATAAAGTATGTTGGGGCTTTGACCGTGTGTATGTGCACACACTAGCTTACATCCGATAGACTTTGTTGCGATTGTGGCCTAGCGCTTTGTGGATACCTTTTGAGAGTTTGTGTTTCGGTGCTTCCACTAATATAACGTCAGACCTCAGGTTCGGTTTAGGTATGTGGTAAAATTCCGTCATGGTTATCTTTCTCCAGCCGAATAGGCCAGGTTTGTATGGTCCTGTCACTGGCTGCTAGTCGGTATCAACCGGCAAGCGTCAAAGGAATGCAAAGCTACCTCAAAGGCACAGGATTTTTCAATAAGGTTGATCATTTTCAAACTAGAGATGTAGGAAGAGTGGGTTATGCTGTGGATTAACTTCCAATCTTTCTTTAAAGTGCTTACGTGTCTATCCTTAGTTTCTGGTACATCGAGACCTAAACGTTTGTATAAGTGAGCAAAGATTTCAGCACGAGCCCAATGCAGAGAATCTGTCTTCTCTTTCCAGGAGGTTAGAATTAGGGCCAAAGGACCTTGATACGCCTTGCTCAACAGTCGAACTTTGTGTACTTTGCTACTTTCAGCCAGTATTATCATATCACTTCGAGAAGGCTTACATAAAAGACTATGCCGTTTGTAATAGAAACAATCCTCCGATCTATTTGGATGGCTTGGTTTAAGGGCGTACGCATAGACGACAAATTATTTTCGGCACTTTGCACGGGGTCTTCTCTGCACACAACCTTCTGTCATCTTAAATCTAGGTTTTCATTGAAGCTTCCGTCCTCAGCTGATCTCTACACCGACACTCACTTCACCAGATGCCGAGAATTCGGGGTCTCTCGAAGGATGAAAAAACGGAACTTCGCTTGAGGAAGGACAGGGGCCCTCTGACCAGAGAAAGTAGTCAGCGTTTCGAATGTGCCTCTGTTGAATACTACACACTCATAGATAGAGTTACAAGCCTATGTGCCAAAATTGACTCTTGTCTAATTTACATCAGCCTCCACCCTTTAAATGTCGCAGAGATGTAAAGACTTTCGGGACGAATAAAGGTGACACTGAGGTTCTTCTGGTCTGATAATCCAGTCATAGTGGTAGATACAAACGAACAGAGATCGATCTTCGCTGATGCAAGGAAGTGTTGCAATCCCCGTGGCTTGAAATCTGAGAGTCGAGGCTATGAGCGTAAAACTGAAAAAGGACGTAGAATCACATGGCAGTATATACTTCGTTACTTTGTTGCATTTGAACAGAAATGCGGCCAAGTACTGAAGGAATCAGTGCTATAGCACCAGTCTTCTAGTAGCGTGTTGCAACTTCCACATTCATTCATGACTTATTTGTATGTTTGCCATATTGAATTTTCGCACTGTTCAATATTTTTTTAATTAGTGGAGAAATCAAGCTTTTCTTCCGATCTGATGTTATAATCGACATACCCACACCTGTCGTCCATGTCAAGCCAGGTAATTAAGGTGGTCTTGTTTCTTGTGTGCGACAGCACTCTGCGCAAATCATCCGCGCGTCTGTGTTCGGAGTGGACGAGAACGATGAGATCCGTGATCGATTTGTGTTCCCGCAGAATAATTTGCACATCACGAGCATTGATGTACAGTCAGTCGAACCGGTGGATCAGCGTACTCGAGATTCGTTACAGAAATCTGTACAGCTAGCAATCGAAATTACCACTAATTCCCAAGAAGCTGCCGCCAGGTTAGTTTGTTTCTGTTAACCCGGGACTGGAGGAAATCCCGAATAAATCATTTCTTCGTTTTAACCACAAACAGCTATACTGCTTTTCGTTCAAATAATCCTTTTTTATTTAGTCGTTTTTCTGTCGGGTGGTACATGAATTTTGAGTGGTACCGTAATTTTTGATTTCGTCGACGTACTGTCAGATGATTACTGCTGCACGAAAAACTAATATTCAATATATGCACTAACCCGACGTTTTTGAATGATATAGGTATTTGGGACCTTGCGCGTTTATCATACATATATCTTCTGGTCCTCTTTTCCATTCCAAAAGCCTCAGACTGTATCCATGTTTAACTGTTCATGTTGCCTGTCGTTGATTTTCGAAATTCTGTGAGACAATCATGTCAGACCATATGTTCGAACCGCATGTTTGCTATTTTTCCCCCTGTTAGTTTTGGCTGGTTCAAGGGTAAACGCTATAATACAGCGATACAGTGATGTGATTGTCATCATCCAAAATCGCTACTTCATTGCTATCATTTTTTATACGCTTTTTGTTGAACGTGGCACAACATTACTGTGTCCTTACGGTTTGATCGTGTAAGCTTGTTTCCCCTTTCATCGCATGATTTGTGCTATTGCTTTGACGTTCCTCTGACAGAATAACGGACGTAAGAAGTTTATTGGGCGCTTGAATCTTACGGCTCTGTTGGATGATCACTCTACATTATCTGGTATTTGCAGTTATTTCTATTTTACCGTAAACTGAATTAGACATCTTTTGCGTACTGCCTATTTTTGTCCGTGTTCTGGTAAGCTTATTATTACTAAGAATCCTGTTTTTGTTTATTTTTTCTAAACATTGGTGATTGATTCCATATGGGCGGTGGTGACCAAGTGGTTAGGTCACCGACTTGTGACCTGGGTGTCCCGGGTTCGAACCGCCCACCGCCGCCCGTCTTCCCTATTTCTGTATTTTTCCAGGCAGCCTTTGTATGGCCGCGGCCCCTATCCCGGAATGGTTGACTGTATATTCGTATATTCCGTACATAAAAAAGGAAGTGAAAGGACGTTTTTTTAAATTGCTCACTTTCACTCAATTTCTGTCTCTCATGCTTTTATCTTAATCTCCTCAGACATGAAGCTGAACGGTTGGAACAGGAAGCACGCGGTCGTTTAGAACGACAGAAAATCGAAGATGAAGCTTCTGCCGAAGAAGCTCGTCGTACGTTACTTGAAAAACGTGTTGAGCTAGCTGCGTTGGAATGTTGTGGTCAAGCGACCGCTGAGGCCAAGAGTCGGGCTGATGCTGCTCGAATCGAGGGTGAGACCGCTGTAGAACTGGCCACACTGCGGGCCGAAGCATCGAAAATTGAAATGGTAAGTGGGCTTGTTCCATTGCCTGCTTATACACAGCAGACGAACCAAGTTGTTGAGTGATCGCTTTAAATAGCGGACTAATGAATAAGTTAGTGGTTTAACGTAGGTGCTTGTTTTTGACAACTTCCTCGGGGGAGACTGGTACATGGCATAAAACGTTATTAGAATACTTTTCAATGTTTGTACGTGTTTCGTTGATTGTAACTGTTTATGGTATGTCTTTGGAAAGACGGAGGTGGAGCGGCTGTTTCGTATCGTGATTCGGAAAACACCCGCTACCACCTGTTTCGATCACGGAATCATTCGAAAAGTTACGTTTGTCGTGGAGGCTATTATCATTGTTAAGGCAGTAGGATTTATTGTTGGAATCACTTTTGTGAACAAAGCGACAGGTCTCATAATCGAGTAATCACTGCTTCGGCTGCTTTGGGATGAACTGGACTCACGATTACTGAGGTTTATTCGAAATGTGTCGTCTGCTTGATGCCCTCAAGTTGTGTTACACTTGTGCTTGAGGTGGTTCTCCTTGTCTCTGTGATCGGTCACAAAGATTGGTATTCCTTGGTTCTTTGCGATATCTGTCAAGTTGTTATGCTTACATTTCTCACCAAAAAGTAATTGATAATCAATGAGGAATGAACGAGTAGTTTATCTTTAGGGATCATGAAAACCACCTATCGGATTGAAAATTAGGTGTGTAGTGAGGCTTTAGTAGAGGTTCGGGTAACCACCTCTTTCAAACATCGTGTCACCAGTGTGCTATTAGGATCTTCGAATGGGTGTCTTACAAAGTGTTGTTTTCTCAATGCCGTTTTCGTTTGTGGTCTGCGAGGTTACTTGGGGAAATTGAATCTCAACGAACGATGGTACAAACACATCCTCTCACTCCACTCTTTCTGGACCACTTATCACAAACAGTTAAAATCAGCGAATTACATGTAGCAGTTAAAACACATATATACCATATGATTCACAAAGCCAGAAATACAGTGTTGAGTAGAAATTTCGAATGCGGTTCATGTACCCGACCAAACTGTGTCAGATGGCACTGAGTGATCACAACACACAAGTTCGGTCACATGCCCTCGCGAATCGTCTGTGTTTGTGGTGATGCTGCTTGCGAAACACGGGTCACGGTTGCCAGTTCTTAGAACATAAGCCTCACAGAGGATGGATGACAAAACGCATGCGATCTGACTGAACGCGTCAGGTCAGGAATTTTCGCGAAGTACTGTCATCTTCCACAAAAGAGAAACACAGACCATTTCAAACGTGAAAAATGCACGAAGCGTTTTCTTCAAACCAGTTCAGTTTGGAGCGAAACAAATAGATTTAACGGCATAGAAACCTGAAAATCCACTCAGTCTGGGTACACAAAGCTCTACTCTACCTAATCGCTCTGTTCATTTCTTCATGCCTTGTCTCCATGTCATCCGCTGGCCTTCATGTAACTGTTTCCGTTCTGCAGCGGCCACTGCAAATAAGGCACGGTGCGGTAGGCGACCGTTAGAAATGCGCAAGCAAGTACGCGCGGTCCTGATTATCCTGCGCGACGACCGATACAGTATGGAATTATTTTTTGTTTGTGTATCCATTTGGATGGACTGATGGACTGATAGGGTGTCCAGCCACTAAGCAGGAGAACGATCAGGATTCTCATCCAAAGCGGGTAAAGCGAAGTAGAGGTCCATTTACTTGGATTGGTCACTCCTCTACCGTCTTATTGACTGAGACGCGAACTCGAGTCGAGTGGCTCGTGAATCTTGGTTGGTTGTGAATAGGAGTTTTCCGAAAGTTCTCCAAATCAGTTGTTCTTTGGCCCCGTTGTTAACTTTTCGTCCTCTCACTTAGGTGGAAGAACACCTCTCGCAGTCATGTTACACATTTTCTAACATGTCGACCTCTGTTTTCATTGATGCTAACTGAAACCGATCGATACACCCACTATGATAGGAGTGGGTCGACATCAGTAGCCTTAGCAGCTGCTCATGCGCATCAGATGCTATCCAACAGTCCACTGTGATAATTTAACTATCGTTTATACTTACGGTAATAAAGCTGACATTTCGACTTTACGTTTTGGAATAGAGCTATTTTAGGGTCTTGGAGCTACGGAGCTGCGTTTTGTGCAATGTGACTCTAACTACCAACATGCATTTGCCAGTGAATTTCCCCTACCTTTCCAACTGGCGTCCGTTCGTTTATCTTTTTTCCACTCTATGGGAGTGGATCATTATTTGCGCATACTGTGAGCCATCTACTAACTTTTTGTGGAGGTGTAATTATATACATTATATATAAATATTATACTTTATTATTGTATATAGTACATATATTATTTTATATACGAAAGTGTCCGAAACATTGTCTCCTTTTGATTCATGTACGCACATGTTCCAAATTCGACATCCGAACCTTGTTCATCCAGTTTTTTGCTGGATCGTGTAACGTCATTTTTATGTTTTACTCCGCTTAAATTCGTTACC